CAGCCACTTCAGGAGAACCTGTCTGATTCCTCCTTTCTTTTTGCCTTCTGGAGCTAATATGTGCTCTTCAGGAAACAAAAGCAAACACCAGCTTTCCAGTGTGACATGATCTTATAAGTCTCTTGCAAGCCCATCTCCTCCTCTTTCTTCCTGTAAGGGTGGAAACCTGTTGCTACAGACTTTTGGTATTCAAGGCTGGAGACAACCCTCAGAGATATGAGTGGGTTACACAGCAACACAGCTGCTCTCTGCTCGCGTGGAGGGTGCTAGAGGGGAGGCTACCAGCAGACTGCTAGCTACTACCATACCTTGATAACACGTTGCTCTCCAGATATTGAAACGAGGTGCAGATGTCCCCTTCACTCCCATGATGAGCAGATCCAGACCACTGAGTCAAAATCTCCATGCTCCAGGATCCCTTTCCTGTTTTAACAAAGACAATTTCAAAATCTGGTAGCTTGGAAACTTGAGGGCTCAGTACAAATTACTCACGTTGCTCTCCAGATATTGAAACGAGGTGCAGATGTCCCCTTCACTCCCATGATGAGCAGATCCAGACCACTGAGTCAAAATCTCCATGCTCCAGGATCCCTTTCCTGTTTTAACAAAGACAATTTCAAAATCTGGTAGCTTGGAAACTTGAGGGCTCAGTACAAATTACTTTAAGTCCCAGCGGAAAACAGATCCTTCCGTTTCAATAACATACAGTTTGTTTAGAGAGCTGGCAATTCAGAAGAGACTGAACCATGGATCCTGCCAAGCCTGGGCCTCACACCACAGCAACTGGAGCAGTAAGGATTTATTTTTTCCCACAGTGGTGGAATTGAGACATTGTTTATGTAGATATGTTTCTCCAGGTTTTGAATGACAGCAGTTAAGGGATGTGCCCCACACTTCAGGAAGCTGAGAGCCTCTTTTGTCTAGTCAACTGCTCTGGAAAACTCTGATCAGGTCACATACCTCCAGCAATCTCTTGGTTTGGATACCCCTGCTGGCCTTTAAAATACAAAACAAAGTTTTCCTAAGGTTACGTAAAGGAGAACCTCAATAAAACATTATAGATGGAAAAGCATTCTTTGTCCTCCTTCGGTCAGCACCTGGCAGCCTCCTCACAAGTTTATTCCTGACCCAAGCCACAAAATGCTCTGGGTAGCCAAGCTGCAGGTATATACCTGAGAGCTTCTACAGCCCAGCTCACCACGCTACAGGATCACAACTGTGATAACGTGCTCTTCACTATTCTCTAGGGAGAAATGTAAATCAAAAAGCTTTACAGAGCTATGGGCCTCACTTTTCTGTTCATGGGAGAGACCATTTATCTGTGGTCACGGTATGCTGCCTTTATCTGAAGATTATGTTCAGCTGTTCCCTTTCCAAACCTTTTGATACACGTGCCGGTAGATGTTCACTGGTCTGTCAAGGATAAAGCAAATACAGGGGAATCTTGGAAAGACATCAAGCAGAGAAGAACCTGGATCACAATAATGAGATATTGAGTGTGGATAAAGATCCAAACTTATCTAGGGCCTGGGGTTTAGTTGGCCCCTTTCTGTCCACAACATCGATGCTTACAAAACTCTCTAAAGTTTTGGGTTTTTTTTACACGAGCAGCATCTGTGACATTGGCCATTGAGGAATTCATGCTGGTGTTGGTAAATGCTGGGAAAATTGGCCTTTTTGTCATGGAGTTATTACTTTTGCCTCTGGGAAGCAAAGAAAGTAAAAATAGATCAGTAACTGCAGCTTGAGAGAGAGGTTTACATAGCCCATGTAAATGAAAATTTTGGCCAGACTTCTTTTATTTCCAACTCTTTCATCTTCATACTATCTTTTCAGCTTTACATTAAAGATGGGTCTTATCACAGAAATTGGACTCAAATCCAAGGCTAGATGTGGATATCCTCCACCTGGGTCAGCCCCTTTTTAACCCCTTGCTTGCCCATTACAGTGCTTAAGCCCTTGTTCAGAACCAGCCACAGCTTCTGAGCTGCCCTCTTTAAAAAAAAAAAAAAATAAAAAAATATCTCTTTCTAAACTTACTGCCCATAAAGCATTCCTTAGCTTCAATTTAGCCTGGCTCCCCGCAGGCCATCCCACAGCCACTTCAGGAGAACCTGTCTGATTCCTCCTTTCTTTTTGCCTTCTGGAGCTAATATGTGCTCTTCAGGAAACAAAAGCAAACACCAGCTTTCCAGTGTGACATGATCTTATAAGTCTCTTGCAAGCCCATCTCCTCCTCTTTCTTCCTGTAAGGGTGGAAACCTGTTGCTACAGACTTTTGGTATTCAAGGCTGGAGACAACCCTCAGAGATATGAGTGGGTTACACAGCAACACAGCTGCTCTCTGCTCGCGTGGAGGGTCCTAGGGGGGAGGCTACCAGCAGACTACTAGCTACTACCATACCTTGATAACACGTTGCTCTCCAGATATTGAAACGAGGTGCAGATGTCCCCTTCACTCCCATGATGAGCAGATCCAGACCACTGAGTCAAAATCTCCATGCTCCAGGATCCCTTTCCTGTTTTAACAAAGACAATTTCAAAATCTGGTAGCTTGGAAACTTGAGGGCTCAGTACAAATTACTTTAAGTCCCAGCGGAAAACAGATCCTTCCGTTTTAATAACATACAGTTTGTTTAGAGAGCTGGCAATTCAGAAGAGACTGAACCATGGATCCTGCCAAGCCTGGGCCTCACACCACAGCAACTGGAGCAGTAAGGATTTATTTTTTCCCACAGTGGTGGAATTGAGACATTGTTTATGTAGATATGTTTCTCCGGGTTTTGAATGACAGCAGTTAAGGGATGTGCCCCACACTTCAGGAAGCTGAGAGCCTCTTTTGTCTAGTCAACTGCTCTGGAAAACTCTGATCAGGTCACATACCTCCAGCAATCTCTTGGTTTGGATACCCCTGCTGGCCTTTAAAATACAAAACAAAGTTTTCCTAAGGTTACGTAAAGGAGAACCTCAATAAAACATTATAGATGGAAAAGCATTCTTTGTCCTCCTTCGGTCAGCACCTGGCAGCCTCCTCACAAGTTTCATCCATCCTCACACATAAGCCCCACACTTGTGAGTCCATCGGTCTCTCAGAGACCACCTTCTCAGCCTTCTAGAGGCTTATGCTAAATACTGATCTAGCCTCGCTCC